CTGTGAGGTGCTTTATCTCCATCTTGCACCTCTCACGGCTAGAAGGATGGAGGCCATGAGAGGTGCAAGGATGAAGACAAAAAACTTCTTAGCGATGAGGAAAGATACAGTAGCTCATGAGTGTGTGGATTCAAGAGTGCGTGGATTGAGCCCAAGAGGTGCATCCAGACCCTGGTTAAATAGGCCAACCTTGAAGATGGAGAAGTGCAAGTAATGGTGATGCAACTGTGTTGTGGGTAGTTGGGAAATAACTCACGCTAACTTTACCGCCGAAAGACCAAACAGTCGTGGAGGGCCGGCGGCCATAACACGTATCCCAGTCAGCTTAGCTTTTCATACGACTGAGAAAATACCACTGTCGCATCTATTGTTAACCCATCGGTGGTAGAAGTTTCAACTACCCATTTCCTTCCTAAGGAGGCCTCGCTATCGGTCCAACCAGCGGTGGAAGCATAACACAGTCGCTTCTATCACTACGACAGTGAAAGTGGCGATAGTGATAAATCAATCTATAGTAGTGCTTGTTAGATGAACTTTTGAAAGGTTTCATAGTGTACCCTGCCTGTTCACCTTGGAAGTGTTTTGGGAGTAATTAACCCGGGCATATGGGCAACACGACTCACGGTGCAGAATGTAAAACTGGTATATCAGTCGTGCTCACAGACACGAGTGGCCTGGAAAACTGACGGAATAATTTGTTCTTATTGTTATTGTATAATGCTGACCCTCATGTTTAATCGTTATTGATTTATCACCATTACTCATGATCATGTAGTATAATTGGGGCTTAAGCATATTTTGTTGCTATTTAATGCTAAAATTATGACTCAATAAAATGCTAACCGCAGTAACTAGTGTCATCCTTTTTGAGCTTCATAACCCCATGTTATTCTTGTTGAGTACGAGATGTACTTACGCTTGTTTTTTTTCTACTTGGATAAAAATCCTAGATGGGTAACAGATTATGATGGTTATGCTGAGTTTCCTAAGGATTACTAGTCTTGCGATCAACCAGTCGACCGTCCCTGTGGCTATGGAGGCGCCATGGAGCTTATAGTTATTTATTTCCACTTGCTAAGACTTTGAGGTTATGTAATGGATTTAATAGCACTGTGCTTGGTATTCTCCTTTAATTTGTCTTTATATGTGTGTAATTGATTCCTGGGCACACATATGTTTTATATCCAGATTTGTCTTTAAATTTGGGTATGACATGGTGGCCAAGGGGGAGGACGTCCTTGGGCATCCTTCAGTTGTTCTCCACATGGTTGGAGCATGCTCCAACTTGGGCATGGGTTCCAAGGTTGATTATTAGGCCCAAGACGACATTGTAGCACTCGATGGGAACAAAAATAGCTTGTCGTGATGATTTGAAGGCCTTGGCAATGTGGTATTATTGTGGGACTAGATATATTTGGAATGTTATCAACCAAGCTTTCCTTCAAGTGCTCATTGACCTCAATCGCACTCCGGATGGATGAGTTATGGTTTTCCCAATAAAGTACAATTGGGTTGGTAGCGAACCGAATGTTGGGCTTCAATGAGCTTGCACTCCAAGATTGGGCTTATGCATGGTGTATCAATGCATCATCTATTGTAGAGGCCATAGAAAGCGTCTTCTGGGCTAAGGCACTCGCGATATCCACATCTTTTGGGTGATGCAAGGCAATCACAGCCTGAATATCCTCTTTCTGCCCTGCCAAGAATCTTGTCACAAAGTAAACATCATCATATGTCATATTGTACAACAAGATCCCAAGTACTAACTTCTCAAGCTACACCTGATAATCTGAGATAGTCCCCATCTGCTTCAACATCTCGAGCTGTCGCAATTGATTCTGATACTGTTCTTTATCGAATCTCTCAAACACTAGTGCATAGACCTTTGCCCAATCATTCACTCACCTCTTCTATCCACCGATTGAAGCCATATGGCTAATGCGCCCTAAAAGTTGAGGGCAATGAATCTTGCCCACATCACCGGTTGAACCGAGTACACCTTGAAGAACATGTCAAAGCGATCACGCCACAAACGGGGGTTATCACCCTAGAATTTGGGAAACTCCAATTTCAGTAGAAGAAGGGAACGTGAGCTCAATTTGAACTCCATACCATGCGAATGGAAAATGGGAGATGAGCAAGCCACAAACATACCCTTGACCGGGTGTGGCGGTGGGGATCCCAGGATCCCTGCGCCAACATCCTGGTGCTCTGTGTGATGGTCGTGCCAGCTGGGCTGTTACATGCTCGACGCCGTATGCTGCGTCGGTTGAGGTGGAGCCATGTTCAGGTCGAGCCACTCATGCAGAGGAGGAGGAGGTCAGCAGAGCGCGTGCAATGGCAGTGGCGGTGGCCGGTACTCCAACTTCATCACGCGCGCTGTCGTCGCCGTCGTACTTTGCATCAATGCCCCCAGTGACTCATCCGCCGAAGTGCGCCACACCTCAAGGCCGCTCTTGTCGAGGGTCATCTTTATCATCTCCTAGAACCCGGCAAACTACGTCGCCATGGATTATTCCATCATGGTCTTCAAGGAGTCGATCAACGTAGCCATCTCCAGCTGATACTTGGGGGCTTCGCTTTGGTGCCAGGACCACGACCCCTGCCCCCCCAAATTGAAGGCTCCGGATACCAATTTGTTACGGGCTTGTCTGGATAGAAGGGATTGGGGAAGAAAAGGAGAAACACACGCGGTAGGAGTCCGCGAGGAAGACAACTATATTCAGAGTTTCAAAAAGTTCTGTTACTACTTGTCTTCCCTCCTCGCTACTACTTGTCTTCCCTCCTCGCTATCGTCTCAGCTTATATACTGCTGGATCGGTACAACGTGCCGGACACGCTATAACCTTAACTGACAACAGCTCCGTCAGCGTGACGGCTTCACCAGAGGGCCCGCACTTCACCCCCGTCTCCTCCCTTGCACTCGTGACAAACATCTAGTAGTAGAATATATGTATATTTCCAACACGTGTTTAGCTTCAACAGCACGAGCGAAGCTATTTTTACAACCTCATCAATTGTTCAGGCTTCCAGGCTCTTGTCTTTATGACGATTTAATCCCCTCCTAGGAATGTATGTATCTAGGGATGCAAGTCTTGTATCCCTAAATGTATCTCTCAGGCACAGATTTTCCACGTAGTTAGACTGAGATTGCTAGCTAATAAGGGCATGGACATGCATATATATATATATATATATATATATATATATATATATATATATATATATAGTAGTGGTTTTCATTCAAAATTATTAGTCCAAATAGGAACGGAAAACTTTAAGGCCTTGTTTGGATGCATGTGTATCTGTCTTAATCCATAATTCAATTCTAATCCACTCCAACACATGTAAATCGAGATGAATACATGTGCATCTAAACAAGGCCTAAGCTAGTATATCTCCATCCTATACAAGCATACTTTTGTTATCTACATAACTCTCTCACTTCTCCACTTTTTCCCTCACAATCATATCTTCTTTCTCATGAGGTTATTGTAATGTACACCACCACCGCCTGCAGGGTACCACTTTTTCATCTGATGAGTCTAGTTGGCCTAACAAGACATACAACAAAGCTACTGCATTATTAGTCTGCTCTAAAGTCTGGCCTCTCCGTTTCCTTCTCTCCATATGTGGGTTTTCATATATTTTTCCTTTTTCTTTTTGTAGGGCGTTGCAACTTGCAAGTACTGTATCATAAAGATTCGGCTACTACAATTCTCACAATTTGTGGCCGGTGGCAAAGGCAGCCGTGTTCAACCTGCTTTGTGAGATCCCGTTTTTTTGTTAGTTCTCTATTTTTCTTTGAAAGTGGTCGAGTTGCATAGTTATTACCAAGTTAATTACCGTCTGCGTTCTTATGAGTGATTGACCACTTCAAAGGGTTTTTTTTGCCCAAGCTTTTAGTACGATTGGGGCTCTTTCTTCTCCTGAATCTCTTCTCTGGCAGAAAGAACAAGATGTAAAATGGACTCTTGTTGTGAATGAAGAAGAAGAAACAATAAGCAAATCTTATGCAGTGGTGGTGAAACAATCTATACATCCACAATAAGTCCTTTTCCAGTGCTACCATTCCTCACAGGGCATGATTTTTTTTTGTTTGGCAGAGTTCGCCTTGAAGATCGTAAAATCTTGGAGTTCTCTATTCATGATCATGAGAAGTTTTTATGACTGAATTAGCAAACTGAACGTACACAACTAGAAAGCTTTCTAGTGGAGAAACCTATCCACTCATGTTTTACTCGATTTGACGTGGGTTCTCGTATTTTTCTAGATTTTCTAGATTTATTCAGAATTTAACAGTGCTATTGTTTTAGTAGTAACTAACGTGGCCGTCGAGTGACTGTTGACAATGAGATGCCGGTGGTAACTTCATTGATCTTTAGATCAGCGGATCTAGCTTTTATCTTTTGAAGCTTTTATATCTTTTATGGCCTTGTTTAGAAGGTGCTTTAGTAAATATTGTTCAATCGTGGACCAACTAAGGGCAAAAGATTCAATCCAACTTCCAACTAAATTGTGCAATTAATTTATTTTTTTACCTGCTATGCTCCATGCTATTGTTAAAAAAAAAAACTTGAAATCTCCAAACTATTTATGTAGAGCAAAAGAAAAACTTATCACGCCCATCACACTCAAGGATACATTTCGGTGAAGGGACATGTGAGATGGAACTAAAATAACAAAGAAAAAAGACTTATAGGGATTTCACGGAATAGAATCAAACGATAACTAACTTCATCATTTCCTACCTAGGGAAAAAAAATGAACTAGTAGTAGATGTATAACTCGGCTAGGTTCACCTCCGTCGCAACATCTATCAAGCAGCACCATGACTCATCCTCCTCTCTCTTTGTTTCTCTACTACTTATCAAAAATGAAATAAAAAAAAAACTAATCAAAAACGGACCTGCGGTTATTGCACATGGCATAGCAACGGCTCCTGCATCGCTGCACCATCGCCTGATTCATTGCACGGACTAGATTAAAAAAAATCCTGCCTAATTATAGCCCGAAAACGTCCTCACGGTCTCCACCATCGACGGGGAGAACACGGCCCCACCGTTGCTGGCGGCGCTGTTCATGTTCGTCGACATCACTGGGCCGATCGTCGCGACGGCGTCGACCGGCGGCGGGAACTGGCCGTAGAGTCCCCTCGGCGCGCAGAGCTGCTGCAGGTCTGATGCTGCGGCGTCGGGCGCGAACAGTAGCGGGATGTCGGGCGCCATGAAGTGCGCGTCCAGAGGCGGGGCCGGCAGCGGCGGCATCAACTGCGAGTCCGCGTAGGGAGGCGGCCCCGCGGCGTGGGTGGTGTTGGCGCAGCTCTCGGACGAGGACGAAGACGACTCGTCCTGCGGGGCGGCGGCGACGACCGACCCCGAGTTGACGCGCCCCGCCGAAGGCGCGCGCCACGGCCGTGACTGTCGAGGCCGGTGAGCTTCTGCACGATGGACATGAAGTCGCGCGGATTGGTGCGGATCACCTTGGGCGAGTGCGTGTAGATGATTACCGGTTGCTGCTGCTGCTGCCGCCTTGGCGGCTGCGGCGCCGGGGCCGGCCGGTGGTGGCTGCTGCTGGTGATTATGGCGTTCGAGGGCGACGACACGGACGAGTTGGTCGATCCCGAGCCCGAGGAGAGCGGCGAGGTGGCCTTGTGTATACTGTGGGAGTCCCTGTGGACCTTGAACGCGGCGTGCCGCGCCACGCCAGCACCGCCGCCGGCGCCGGGCTGCCGCGGCGATGATGTAGGGCTCATGGGCAGTTGGCTAGTGGGTGGTTGGCAATGGCTGCCTGGACGGGAGAGAGGGATCGGGGAGCGTGTATAAATAGCCGAAGGCTGCCGGACGGGGTGGAGGAGCCTCGAGGAGGAGGAGTGCATGTGCATGCGGGGATATTTCGTTGGGACGGTGAGCGGCCGGAGGCGCGCGAGAAGATGGTGGCGGGAAGGAAGGCCGCGCAGCGAGCGAGCAGCTCCCTTCCTTCCACTCAGCCCGATCGATCCAGTGGGAGTGGGTGGCAGTTACCACTCCTGCTCCCTCCACAAAAAGAACAGAAATCTAGTTTCTTGATGAGTCCAACAATTCCAATTCCAATTCCAATTTTAATTAAATAAATAGGAGTGTATATAAAATATATTAATATTATGCCCTAAAATATTAATATTTATAATATATAATAATCATCACTAAATTAAATTAATCATGAAATATATTTATAGTAAAACTATTTATAAAAATATGAATACTGATACTTTTTTTGAAATTATAAATCATTGAAAAATGTAACTTCTCGGTAAACGAGATTTTTATTCATTTTAGGAGGAAGGATGCTGTCTGTTTTTTGAAAGGGCAAAATATTCATTCATTCATTAAAGACATCGTACAGAAATGGAGCATATATAAAGATACCCATTTAATGTTGTGTAGAGCAATTTGGATAATACTCCCTCCATTTTAAATTATAAGTCATTTTGAGAGTCAAAGCATCTTAAGTTTAATTAAAATTATAGAGAAAATTACAAAGATTTATAACACCAAATAGGTATACTATAAAAATATAATTAATAATAAAGAATCTAATGATATTTATTTGATATCATAAGTGTTATTATTTTATTCATTTCTCCTATAATTCAGGTGCTTGAATTTTAAGATGATTTCAGACACACTCTTGTACTCAATTAGTACAAGTAAATTGCCACTTTTATGGTTTGTTATTTGTCTTGTGTCATAATATATCAAATTTTTGTCCTTGTCTGACTATAGAAATAATTGAAAATTATTAAATTGTCTTTGTGCCAACACATATCAGATTTTGTCAGGTTTGTGGTTTTGTCTAACAGGTTTTTTATTCTTGGAATAAAAAAATGCAGATCATATCTACAGAAATTGCAATGAAGTAAAACTGCAATTTTAGTATAAAATATATGCAATAACCACCACCTAAAAGAAAGTTAAAATTCACGCACTTGAAATTTAGCAAATCCCTATTTTATTATATAAATTTGGTTAGACTTGAGATGGTTTGACTCTTCAAAGTTGGAATGACTTATAATTTAGGATGGAAAGATTACAAGTTTGAGAATGTGCTAAAGCTTGGCAAGAATAAAGACAATTTCCTCTAATGTTTGCCTGTCTTGCTTGCTTTTCTAACCTGTCTGCAACTCCGTTAATTTCACTTCTAATCTTGAGAATTGAGCAATTTCTTCCTCTTCTGACATTTTTTAGTACCGCAAGGATTGGCTGAGACCAATGGCCTAGGTTGTCTGGTTGTGGAGTATAGAGCTAGCGCTAGCAGCGTTGGCCAGCACTTGATTGTCTGTGAGAGGGAAGTTTAAAATTGATGCTAGTTTTGCACCGAGGAGTAAAGCATTTCCTTCCGCTTCCAAAGGGTCCATCCAATGCTTGAGCTAAAGCAACCTGAAAGAAAATGCCGATGCTGTTTGATTTTGGATAGGAGATTAAAGGATCACAAAATATTTTCGATCCTGCTGCGAGTGCATGTAAAGATGCACTAGTATTTATGGTGGGAGGCACAAAGGGGTAAGTAGTTTGATTAGATTTTGCATGCAGCACCCGCCATCCTGCGCTCCGCCTGACTAGTGGGTCCAGCAATAAGTGGGTCGCAACACAATCCAAGTTCCAAAAGACTGAGGCTGCCCTGCTTGATCAAGGTTGTAAGTTAGGTTAAAGAGGACTAAAAGTGCTAATATGTGATTTTACTCTCTTTCTCTCTTATCTCTCCTTCACCGTTTAGTCATGTATCCAATCAGACAAAGGGTTAAACTTTACCCAAGGGGGTCAAACAGGGCTCGGTAGAGAGTTTCATGGTGTTATTTTCAAGACTGCCATGTTATATAGAATGAAATAAAACATGGATGAAACATACACTCTCAATGGAGAGTTTCATTCTATAGTTTCATAGACATTTAATTTCATGACAAGAGAGTTGGTAATCGTGCCAAGAAAGTTTCATCCCCATGAAACTCACTTCTTCTCTCTCTTCTTATAAACATTGTCACTTCATCAAAACGCTAATGTGGTGGCTCATTAGATGAAAATGAAACTATGATGAAACTCCCACAGAGACTGACCTAATATCTGACATTATTGACCAATTCAAAAATTAAAGAGTCGTCCATAAGATGCAAGAAAAAAAATAAACTACTCTCAACTCTAGTAGCTTGCACGCAGTGGCGGAGCCATAAATTATACATAGTGGGGATAGGTTGAAGAATTTCAAAATATGAGAATTGACTGTAGCTTATTTGTTTAGGTTTTTGTTTCGAAGTTAGACTCCTATTTTTCTATATTTGTTCTAGTGTTTGACGATTTAACCATGCTCATTATTTTTCACGTAGTAGATGACCGTGTCTATCGACAATGGAATTTGCCGGCTTAGTATTTCGGAAATGGTCATACCTGTGGTAGGTGACCGTGTTTGTCGACAACGAGGCGCGTGTGATGACTCATGAATCTTAAAATCTACCAGATTAGTATTTTGAAAGTGCTCATAGTTAAGTAGGATGTGTGTGTTGTTCATGGGAATGTGTGTATGTGCATGTATGTGAGCGCCTATATCTATACTGTGATTTACAGTAAAAATAGATGGTCACTGAATTGTTATTGCTAGTTAAATACACATTCAATAAAATATAAAGTATAATGAATAATAAGTATTTTAGTAAAACCAAAAAAAAAATTTTTTATCTCCTAATATGATAGGCAAACAAATATAGATAAAACTAAAATATCTTATTCTAATAATATTCTGTGTGATTTTATTGTCTAAAAGATATCAATAATCATATATAACAAGATTTTTTTATTATACTCTTTTATTTAATATAAACATAGACTATTAACACTATATATTATATAAAAATATGTATTGTAGGGGTGGTGGGGTGGGGGGGGATGCCCCCCTCGGCTCTGTCACCGCTTGCACGTGTAATTTTGTTGTCTAAGAGATATCGATAATCGTATATAACAAGATTTTTTAATTATACTTTTTTATTTAATATAAACATAGACCGTTTACTATATATATCATATAAAAATATGTATTGTAGGGGGGGGGGCATGGCCCCCGCTGGCCCCCCTCGGCTCCGTCACTGTTTGCATGCCTTCTGCTCATCTGAGCGCCGAACAGAGCTCAAAACCACAAAACAATGTGCCTTCTAAAAAGAAAAAAAGTTTTTAGTTGGCAATTGTTAAACACCAAGTCACACAAGCCAAGCTTCTCAATAAGGCTTACTTTGGCAGCACGGATGAATTAACCCCGGGAAAACAACCACGGGCGAGTTTTCCCGTGGCTGTTTGGCATGGGGCGTGCTATACACCGACCAGTGGCGCCGAGTTGTCCGCCGACCAGACGAAACTCAATATATTTTCCGCATCCTGCTTGCTAACGCATGTGGTCCGGCTTCTGCGTTGGCGTGGGCCGGCTGGCTTATGCGTTTCTGTTTATGTGTTTCCACGAGCGTGGGCCGGCTGCTCCCACCGTATGGTTTTGCTCCGCTTCCCACACGTCCTGGTTTCTTGTTTCTAAAAAACGCGTCCTGGTTTCTGCTCCGCTTCCCACTCGTCCTGAGAAAAGCACACGCCCTGAGAAAAAGCGCCCTGAGTAACCGAAAATAGCGAGATGGAAGGTCGAACACTAGACCTATATTGTTTAAAATACCATTCTCCTACCACTGTACCCTACGAATGTTTTGTATTAGGTATAAAACATTTTCGTTATTAATTAAACCTTATAAAACCATTACGTCTGACAACATATTGCACCTGACAAAATAATATTCTAGACCACAAATATGTCATGGGAGTTTCATAAAAAATGAAGAAAAAACTATATGTAATAGGAAGAACAAAATCACATGTATATTATATAATATTCACATATATCTCATAAAATATAAAATATAGAAAATTTGAAAAGTAAAAATAAAGACGCTTGAGATTAGCACAGATACGATACAATAGAGAGATTGTGGCCAAAGGCAAGAGGAAGGGGACTAACCAGGAGTCGCCCCCGCTTTATCCGGAGGTGAAGGACGCGCCCAAGGACACCGACAGCATGATTAACGGGCGCAGATCCTCCCCGCTAGGGAGACGAAGTTCTTGGTACAACCGGCGCCTCTTCTTCAACCCGTGGCGGCGTGCACCCGCCGTCCGCGTCGAGGGCTTTCCCGGCACTGCGTTCCAAGCGTCCTCCACACTTCGGCGGCGACGTTCCCGGCCCCGCACGCCCTAGCGTCCGCGGCGAGGGAGTACGCCGTCTCGCGAAGCGTCCGCGTCAAGGGCTTTCTTGGTGCGCAGTCGAAGGGGTACGCGGGCAGGGAGGGGTGCGACGAAGCATGCCAGAGAGGGCGGTTATTCTTGTACACGCGTAGGGGCGCAGGCCGGCAGGAGGCGACGATCGGACGGGAGAAGAAAACCGGTGTGGGTACATGCGGGCGGGTAAGAAAGCGCGGACGGTGATATGTTCTTGTCATCCTTCTATCATGGGTCCATCTGTCGATCTAAGGTGGGTAGGAAGATTTTCTGGTGACAATAGATTTTCAACTCATTCGCTCCTTTATAGTATAGATAAAAGATAACCTAAAGTAACAGCCAATCTAAATTACCCACCCATATAATCTAGGCAATGAACATCCAACATTTGGCCGGGCAGCAATCCAAACTGCTGGTGTTGGACGAGAGGAGAGACACAGGCTAGGCCACACGGGGGAAGTCCTCAGAAACACACCGGCCA